GTGAAGCTGCTGCACACAGAGTTTCTGGGATCAGCTGACCTGCATCCAGAACCTGATTTACAGAACTGTGGGTCGAACAGCAGGGCAGGTCCCGAAGAAAACCAGTTAAGAAATTGAGAAGCTAAACGAGTTAAACCGTTTTTGAAGCGAACACAGCAGGATAAAGTATATGGACTTTGATGCGATCATCCGGACATTGAGAACAACAGACAGAGTTTTATGTCACAGGGGGAGTGCCGAGCTCGCTCGAGGTGATAGACGCATGCGCTATATGCGTAACGTGAAAGCTGACTACAGTTGTAAAAAAGATTAATTAATTAATTAATTAATTTGTCTTAAAATACAGACATTCTTACCTCAGCTTAGAAGGCAGAGGGTGTCGGTCTTTTCCTCTCAGATTCAGCTTTCAGAGCATGAAGCTAATGTTTACTTACAATGCTAATGCTCTCTTACTCTCTGGCGCTCAAGAGGTAGAGGAGCCAAATGGCTGGCTCACTGCTGCCAACTAGTGGTCAGAGGCTGAACTACAACACAAAAATGAACGGCTGACAGGAAAGTTGACATTTTAAACCTTAATAAAAAATTGATACAGGGCTTTAGAATATCAATACAGTATCGGGAAATGAATTATCGCAATATTTCAGTGTATTGATATTTTCTTACACCACTAGTGTATTCGCATTTATTTAGGGTGTATTCACACCTGACACATTTGATCTGTTTTAAACAGACCAGACCCTGTTGGTCCGGACTTTTTAAGCAGGTGTGAATAGATTCAGGTGAACCCTGGTGAGGACCRAAAACCGACATAGACCCATTTTTAGGGTGTATTCAGACCTGACAATTTGGTCTGCTTTAAACAAACCAGAGTTTGTTTCCAGCGTTGGTCTCGGTCCGCTTCTAAACGAACCCTGGTGCTGTTCATTTCAGTTCGCTTCTGGTGTGAATACAGACCGGACTCTAATCGAACTAACTGCATTAAACATGCACCTTTTTGGACTTCACAGGCCACCGTTGCTGAGCTAAATAAACTGAAATCATACCTGTTTCATCGTCTCCTGTTAGCAGCTCTGCTGCAGCATGTTGTGGGTCAGAACACGCAGAGCACCTCTCCTTTGGGTTGCCGGACACGTTTACTGACGCCGCTCCAAAATTAGAATATCATCACGGAACCACCATTAAATTAGCTGCTTCTGACATTTTAAATGCTATTGCAGTTGTACTATCAGCAAAAATGTGTGCATCAGAACCGCAGCATGCAGGACTTCCTTGTTTTCTTCTGGATCTGTGGCTCAGTCCCGCCCCCGTCCTTTTCTGTCCAATGGGAGCAATGATCATCAGCCTCATGGCTTTGTTTACAACTCAAAGTTTGTTTGCAAAAAAGCACAATGTGAATGCAAACCGCACCAAACGAAAAAAATAAAGTCCACTTTAGGTCCGGACCAAACAATTGGACCAAAGGACTTTCCTGGTGTGAATACACCCTAAAAGTGTCGGTCCGCTTCCAAAAGAACTCTGGTGTGGTTCGCTTCTGGTGTGAATACAGACCTGCCTCAAAACAAACCAACCTTTTTTGGACTTAAGCATCATGGTAAAAATGAGCCCTTTATTTTAAAAAAAGTCTGCTTTAGGTCTGAATCAAACAAGTGGACTTTCCTGTTGTGAATAAGTAAAAAAAAAACATTTATAGAAGAAACAATGTCTGACATTCATCACTGGTAAAGAAGATGAATTTTTTTTTCCCAACATTCTGGCTCTTTTCTTGTGAAGGCAACAGTGCAGCGGATTGCTCCTCTTCCTCTGTTTCTTCACCTGAGATGCAAATGCCCCAGCTCTCAACCAAACGTGGATCACAAACAACGCTGGGCTTTGAGAATAAAGAGGTTTTTGCCCTAGTCACCACATGTGGGCGGGTTAATGCTAAATGCAGCACAATACCTCATTTAAATATGGAAAAACTCCACCTGCACAGAAACACACTGTTTGTTTGACAACAAAATTTGAAACACTAATCTTCCTTTGCAAAAGCTTTTGAGAATTTGACAAAAACTGAAAATGAACCCAAGACAGATATTTGGATGAATCTGGGCCTGTCTTGTGTACAGAGCCTGTTCTTTGTCATAAAATAACGTAGAAGTGTTCAACTGGTTCAGTGTGTCGTGTTTTCTGTTTTGAGATTAATGCTGTAACAAAAAAAGGAGACGAGGTCAACGCACAAAGTCAAAACACAGATGAATAAATGACACAAACAAGCAAGAAATCTAAATATTTTCAGCCTAATGTTGTAGAATAAGTATAATGATTCATCATAACGATTCAGTGCTGTGTGGTTTTTATTTAGGTCTGACGCCCGGCTCCATAAAGACGACGTGGACATTTGTTTCAGCAAGACGCTGAATTCTTGCAAAGTGCCACAAATCCGATACGCCAGCGTGGAGCGTCTGCTGGAGCGCCTGACAGACCTGCGCTTCCTCTCCATCGACTTCCTCAACACCTTCCTCCACACTTACAGGATCTTCACCACCCCCACTGTGGTCATCGACAAGCTGGCCGACATCTACAAGAAGCCGTTTACGTCCATCCCTGTGAGGTACTCAGAGCTGAGGGTGAAGCAGTCTGTAGACATCATCACACTGATCCATCCGTGTGTTTTCACTCTGCTCACCTGTTCATCCTGTCCTTCACTCTTTCTTTTCTCATTGTTTATTCATGTTCATCCTCCCTGCCTTCCTGTCCCTGCTGCAGCGTTGAGCAGCACTCATATGACCGTCTCTCCATCATGTCTCTGTGTCCTGACTACAGTCTGAAGATCACACAGCTGGCTCTGGACCAGTCCAAGTAAATGCAACCAGCTGGACTGGAGATTCACTCCTGCTCTGGTCAGAGCTGCAGATGAACTCCTTTGGTTTCTTTCAGGTCTTTGGAGCTCTTCTTCGCCACCAACCAGAACACCTGGGGTAACGACCCGCTGAGCAGCAAATCCCCGAGGCTCTGCCGCAAGTTTTCATCCCCTCCTCCCATCTCCATTCCCTCCTGCGCCTCCTCCCCAATGCACTGCCGCAAGCTCTCCCTCAGCTCGCCCGTCAGCGCTAAAGTGGGAGCTCTGGATCTGTCCACGACGCCCTCCTCCTCCGCGGCCAACTCTCCCACTTCCAGCTACGGTCCTTCCATCTCCTCTCCTCCTCCCAGCTCAACCAGGCCTCTGTCTGGCTTCTCCTCCCCTCCGCCCACCGCCACATCCTTGCCGAGCTTCCCACAGGCCTCGGGGGCGTCCTCGCTGCCTCCGCTCTCCACCAAGGCCCCGCTGGACCTCAGTCGTGGGCCCAACTCTCCAGAACTGAGTCCAGCTGCGGGGGAGGACGTCACCGGAGAGCTGCCTCGCCTCGATGCCTTCTGTGGGAAGCTGAGGCGCAGCTTTCGCAGAGGTAAGCAGCTGGAGCCTTCCTGTCCCACGAGTCCACATGCAGTCAGGTGCTTCAGAGTTGGCTTCTAATAAAATATTCCTGTAATTCATTAATGAGCTCCAACTGTGACGAGTTCTGTAGAGACATCTTTAAAGCTGTTAGCATAATTTATTTTATTTTATTATTATATTATAATTATTTTATTTACAGCGGGTAAAATAAGTATTGAACACGTCAACATTTTTCTCAGTAAACATATTACTAGAGGTGCTAATGACA